TGACCTTCCATTCTCAGTCTCTCCTAATTGTCCCTGTCTGCCACTCACCTTCATTTATAACCTTTCTACCTTGAACTCTACCTTTAGCTGTCATATCATGAGTTGGCCACCAAACTAAACACTAGTCACCATATATTTAGTACTTATTATGTCCCAGGCATTATGTTAAATGATTTACAATGAGGGGCAGGGGATAAAGGGTGTTTGCAAAGTATGGTCCTCCTGAACAGCAGCATCAGCATTACCAGGAAACTTGCTAGAAACTCAGATTTCTGAGACCCATTCAAGACCTAATAGATCAACAGTTCTATGACCAGCAATCTATGGTTGCACAGGTCCTCCAGGTGATTCTGATGAAGGCTCTAATTTGGGAACACCTGTTTTATCAATATTACCTTATTTCATTATAAAAGCCTAATCTCACACACTAAATAGTCTTATCCCAGTTTTACAGATGAGGAAACTGAGACTCAGAGACGTTAAATCAATCATGTAAGATCTCAGAAACTACAAATGGCAGCATTACAAACTAACTCTGGGTCTGAAAGATTTTTTTGTCTTTTAACATATATTTAATATTTTTTCAATTTTTAAAAACCTTAAAAATTGTAGTTGACATAATAATATATTAGATTCAGGTGTATAACATAGTGATTAGACATTTCTATGACTTACAAAGAGATCACCCTGATAAGTCTAGTGCTTGCCTGACACTATGACAATATTATTGACTGTATTCCCTAGGCTGTACTTTGCATCTCAAAGCTCTTATTATAGGTGTGAGAGTTCATCCTCTCGAGTTCTCCATGAAATCCCTCACTTGTTTGTTCTCCCATAATTTCTACTTTGTTGATGACTAAACTTGGGAAGACCATGCTGAACGCTTTGTTTCTGCACTTAGGTCTTTGAACACTGCTGGGAGAATAACATAAAAATGCTGATTGTCTTCATGATAATAAATGTATCCTTTTTACCCCTAAGGTAGGTTCCCATCTGATGGGGTCACATGGTGATCTTTCTTCCCCTCTCTTATATTCACTGTATTAAAACTTGCTCCAAGTTTTCTCCCCATTTTTCTAGCCCACAACGGTATTTCCAGATCACAGGGTACCAGTAGAAGACCCGTCTTCCTGGCGATGCAGGGGAAAGACAATGTGAGCCTTTCTCACTTCCTGCCATTCCACTTCAGAATCTCAGCACATTTCCTTGTTCCTGCTCCTTTGTTCTTGCTTCTAAGGAGCGGGTGACCCTTTTCTCTGCTCAGATTGATTACTCACACTCTTGGCTCACTGGTTCCGTTTCTTTTTCCAGATATTGCTCAATCAATTCTGCCTTTCTCACCTGGAACTTCTCTTCCACACTTTTGGCCCCTTAACTTTATCAATAAACTATGTGTGGGCTTTCTGTTTACTAAAGAGAAATAACCTTCCACAGTTGTGCTACCAGCCCTCAAACCCCAATCTCTCTTTTTATCTTCAGTTCACTGTCAAATTTCTTTAAAAATAATCTAACATTCTTCCATAAATTCCTCTGTGACATAATAGTGGTTCCTTTTTGTGCAACAGTTGTCTTGACTGTAATCAATTAAATTTTCAACTAGATCTTTCTCCAAAACAAAACCAAATGCTTTCCCAATATATATTGATGTTTCCTTTTAATCTCTTAGTTCCATCTGTTACAAGTGTCCATCTCTGTAACAAAACAATTTTCCTGACTCGGTTTCCATGGCATTGGAATCACAGAACCCACTTAGCCATTTCTTGCCATCTTTTTGGTTATGCTTTGGTGTTTCTCCTTCCTCCCAAATCATTCATTTCATTCAGTGAACATTTTTAGAGCTTACTATGAGCTGAATACTAAGTTAGATGTTGGGGCTCCAACAGTGAATGTGATACATGTGTTTCCATCCTCTCAGGTAGACCCTATAAGTTAGTGCAAAGAATATAGATGAAAAAACAGAATATTATGCCACTTAATCCTCACAACTGTTGTATGCAGAAGATGTTGTTACTCATATTTTACAGATGCGGAGACTAAAGATCAGGGAGGTCACAAAGCTCCAATCTTCTTTGCAAAGCACTTTGCGTTTTTTGCTCTATTCGGCCTCACTGACCTCACCCTCTTCCAACCCTTTAACTCCATATATATGCCCAGGACTCTCAAACATGAGAGCAAACACGGGCTCTAACCCGAAAACCCATTTCCTCAAAGCAAGACTTGAATTGCTAACCATGTAAACATCCCTATCTGAACATCTCCCTTCAACTGCCTAAAATGTCTGAAAAGAACTCATTATCTAATAGCCAAATAAACATAAAAATAAACCTCAACCAATTATAAATTCTTGACTTCTCAGTTCGTAATGGTGTCAACATTTTTCTTGTCCTCCAAGCACGGAAACCTAGAGATATACTGAATAAATCCCTCTCCTCCACCTAAGTGTTGCATACTGTTATTTAGGTATGTCTCAGCAATGTCTCCTTTTAAACATCTTTATATTTCATTTCCTACAACTACCATTATTTTCACCTTTATGGTCCCTTACATACAGTTTCCACTGCCTCCATTATTTTCTGGTTCTAGGTCATCCTACTAACTTCTTATGTCAGATCAATCTTCTTGTTAGGTTCGTGATCATAGTGGTCCCCTGCTGAAGAGAAGTACACACTGCTGAAAGGAAGGACCAGCTGCTCAGGATAGCAATCACAGCCCCTGCCAGTTTTCTAAGCCACTTCTCCCACCTCCTTCCATATACTTTATTATCTGGGCGAAGGGGTCTAGTATTCCTCATGCTTTTCTGCCTTCACTGTTTCACCTTAAGTGTCTATCCTTCTTACCTCTGTCTGATGAAATCATATCACGTTTAAGGTTTATGTTAAATGATCTCCCTTCCATGAAGTCTCCCCAGGTCCCGCTGCCTTTTGAACTCTCTGTGGTAACGCAGAAGGTCTGACAGAAGCACCGCTGTTGAGTGTGGTTGGTAGGGTACATGAATGTCTTGCATAACATGGATAGCTATTTGAACATTTCACCTAAAATGTCATATGGTATGCTTGAGTGTGATATGGTTACGTTACACAATTACATGCTTATGATTTTGTAATAAAAGATTTTTATGTAATAATAAAGGGATGTTATTTGTGCTGGACCCTGCATTTGGTACTGGAGGTAGCACCAGTGGTTGCATAATATGGTGTTTATTGTCAAATTGCTCTTTCAAAGCAGGAACCATATTAGATGCTGTTCACTCCCAGGAAAGGCCTTTACCATGGTGAAAGCTTATTAACACTTGCTCATTTACAATAGCGGGATGAGTGTTTAAGTCCAGATGAAACCATGTAAAGAGAGAATTAAATCAAGCTAACATAGTCCTGTAAGCTGTGATACAACATACCTTTTGGTACATTGATTATATTTCTTTTTTATTTCTTTGTTCCTGGCATTTGCTTTTCTTGGCTTGCTTTATCTATTAGCCTGATAAGCAATTTAACTACTTGATATAATACACACTTGAACAGCGCTGCATATCAGCAAAAGTCAACAACTGGCTCACAGGAGGAATAGACTGCCCCTTAGAGGATGTTACTTTGCATCTCCTGTCTAAACAACGGTGTGTTGGTGGGCTGGTCACCCTGGATTATTTTTTTGATCTTCCCTTGAGATCACATACAGTGGCAAATTATCAATCTCTCTCTACATGTTCATCAGCATTAGCATTTCTTATGATTTTCTCAATAGTAATACTCAATGAAAATGATGATAGTCTAGTACCTGTAGGGTATTTTATCCTTTTGCCTTGTGTTTATAATTTATTTGGCTTCTGAAACTTCTTGTAAAACAGTCGCTTAGCCACTTGTTTTTTCAGATCATCTTACAAATAGGTAGTATCTCAGCTGGTCGTAGAAAGCAGGTTTATTTTCTTTGTTTGCAATTCAAAATGTGGCCCTTAGATCAGTGGCCATTAGAAATATTGATGATCTCAGTCTCTACTCCAGAACTATTGAATCAGAATCTAAACTTTAACAAGATCCCTAGGTCATTTTCTGTGCCCAGTGAAGTGTGAGACATGCCCCTTAAAGTCTAGAATGGGGCAACAGTGGGTATCATTTTCTTTGACTTTAATTTGTTGATGAGAGAGAGAGAGAGAGAGAGAGAGAGAGAGAGAGAGAGAGAGAGAGAGAGGAATGGGGAACAAGAGAGAGACATTGATTTGTTGTTCCACTCATTTATGCTTCCATTGGCTGATTCTTGTATGTGCCCTGTATAGGAAGATGTTCCAACCAACTGAGCTACCTGGCCAGGGTGAGGATATCTCTTTCATTCCCAGGGTACAGAGTACTGTACTGAGTGTGAGTGTGTGTGAGAGGAATGATGGAGGGAGGGAGGGACAGAGGGAGAGAGAGAATGGATGGATGAATCATATGAGAAAAGAAAAATCTCAGTAGGATATGGGTCCCTCAAAAGGGGTGAGCACTTTGGTTTTGTGGAGGAGGGACTTTGCATTCGCAATAGCACTTTGTATCTGTTCTCCAAGGTTATGAAGATGAACTGTTATTAAAAAAAAAAAAGGAGGGAGGTGGTTTTGTCAGGTGTTGTACTCAAACAAGGAGGATAAAGGACCTGAGCACCAAAGAAAAGCCCCTTTCCTGAGTCCTTTGAGGCAGCTCACTGGAACACATTTCCACTATTTCTAGTTTCTGGATGTATTATTTCTCCTCCTCGCGGTTTCCCTTAACACCCATGATCCATTTGCTCCAGTAAAGCTAGTTCCTCGCCTCCCGGTTTCTTTCCTCCTCAGCTCTCTGCCTCTCTCGTTGCACCCCTGAGCCCGGCCCCTCCCTCCCTGGCGAGGCTTGCACCGCTCCCCGGCGTTGCACCTGAGGCTGGCGCGGGGCTCTGGACGCGTGCGGAGCGCCATGGGCGCGGAGGAGGCAGAGGCGCACTGACTGCCAACTCCAGCCCGCCAAGAGACAGTGTGAGCAACGCCTCAGGGACCATTCTGGGCGGCCACAGCTCACGACTTGCTGTGACCACCGCCGCGGAAGCTGCGAGTGGGCAACTGTGTGCCCCCAGGGACAGCCAGTCCGGGCTGCAGCTCCTCCTGGATGCCAGGGCCAGGGCGCCAGGCGGCAGCCAGCAGGAGGATGAAGGGCTCGGTGGGAGGAAAGAAAGAAAAGCTACTGGGGGCACCGAAAGCTCAGCCCAGCCAAGGTAAGTTGAGTGCAAAATTGGTGTCTAGGCTCCGGCTAAGGCTGAGGGATTGGCTAGGGTGCTGGATAAGACTCTGGGGTTGCGCCTCTGTGGGATGGGAGGCGCGCGTGGAGCGGGCATTTGCACCATCCAGATCCGGGACCACCCCGACCCCTATACCCGCACCATCCGTCTGCACCCCTGCCCCTGTTGCTCAGGGAGAGAAGAGATGTGAGTGCTGGGGCCAGAGTACAGAGTGCAGAGCTTAGGTTCTCCGGATGCCAGACGCTGCAGAGGACCAACGGGGCAGCTGAGGCAGCAGCGGGGGAAGGCAGGCAGGCGACAGGGTCAGCCTGTCTCTGGCTGGAGTTGAGGGCTGGGCCACCGAGGACGGACGCCCTGCCGCCTGTTTCCTATTGGGTGTGTGCATGGTGCGCTCTTTCCTTGGGAAACCTGACGAAGTTATAGGGCTAAGAAAGCACAGTGGGCTAGCTCCTTCCCTCTTCTTATTTTCTTATTTAAAAAAATTTTTCGTAGGGGTGTACACAGTCAGAGGGCAGTGTGAGAAGCTACTGAGTTATAGGAAGCCTAGCTCCAGGAATCACACTGATATTTAGGGTGGGTTTGGGAGGCTGAGGATGAACCAGTGCCCCTGAATCCAGTTGCCCTCCAGGTCCGGAGACCCATTAACAGAGGGTGCAGAGGGTCTGCGTACCTTGTGACGTCTTGGATTTGGGGAGAAAAGTTTTATTGTAGGTGAGAACTGCAGTTACAGGAAACCCACTACTCCTAATATGGTGTCACCCCTCATGAAATGTCCAGTTCCCAGTCTGTCTCTCTTATAACTCAGACCTACAGCACCATGCATTTCTGGTGGCTTGCGTTTATGTGTGTTCTAGCCTGAGCTGTGGCTAAAATAACGCGTGATGTGGCATTCTGGGTGTTTGTGTCCAAATTCTGAAACCTTGAACTAAGAAAGAAGACTGCCCTACATTCTCTAGGTGTAACTAAGAACCCGTGAGCTGATGCTTTTCTGTGACATTCCCTGGTGCTTCTGGGATGTGATGGGGAAATTTCTCTCTCTTGTCTTGAGGCTGTTTGCTAGTTAGCCTGTTAAATGTGTCTTTCACGTGTCCACTCAGTTCTGGTTCACCATGTTCCCTGAAATAAACTGGAAAGGTGAATCTCCCTATGGGGTCCACACCGCCCTTGCCCTGCACTGAGTAATTCAGTGACTTCACTGAGGTCCCTAAGCATGAAAGGCAGATATGGGTCATTTCAAATTATGTAGATTGATGCAGCACAGCATGTCTGGGGTTTGCTGCAATTTCTTCCTATTTCCTCCAGATGTTCCTCCGAAAATTAACTTGAGCACTCTATTCATGGAGCTTACATATAGACTGGGGGAATGGGCAAGCATTTTGAGTAAATGTGTTACCCAAGATTAAAGTAAATGAAGTGTTGGAAGCACTCTGAGATAGGATAAAGAGGCCTATGCCGACATTTAGGGCTTCTGGACTATTTTAGCTCTATTACAGAGTGGCTCAAGGACTTTTGGGGTCATTTAATAATAATAGTAGTAATGGTAGTAGTAGTAATAATAATATCTAGCATTCATTTCCCTTTTGCTGTATATCATTCAGTGTGTTAATGGCTTTACGGCCCCTGCAAATGCCAAACAACCCCATGAAGGCAGCAACTTTACCATCTCCATTTAATGGATAAGGAAAAGGGAGCCTTAGAGATGTTAAATTAGAAAAAAAGTTGCAGAGTTAGAGTCCAAGATTGCTGGACTCCAAGGCAATTTCTTGAGCCACTATACAGCCTCTATGAGCCTCATTTGAAAAGTGAGAGGATGACCTCCCTAAGTTCTAAGTCTCATAAAAAATTAGTACAGAGATGATAATATACGCTGATTCCTCCACAACTATTTCAGATGTTTAATTTCACAGAAATGTAGAGCTTGAGACTTGAATTCAAATAAATTTGCATGGCATTCATGCAGTTTGGCTTGCTGGCTCTAGAGAGGGCTAGATGCTAAGCAAGGTCTTGGTGTTCCCCTTGACAGTGTCCCTTCCTTGAGCTTCTTTATTGTAAATCAATAGTATTATATTAGAGCCATGCTTTTAACAATGTGTGATTTATGACATCAAATATACCTGGTGCTAACATCACATTTGCATGACCCCAAAGAGTTCTCCTGAGGTCTACCTGGACACTTTCCTGTTTCAGTTAGCTAATAATTAATGCTCAGATCCTAAGATGTTGGATTTCTAGTAAAAGATACCAGCAGATTGTTTTAAAAGGTCCTTTCCATTTCAACAGCATTTTCAAAACAATTACACCCCCTGTTGTGATTTGCTATTTACTAGGTGTATCAAAAGTTCAATAATAAAAAATGTTTGCAATTCAACAAAATATAATGTTTCACCTATAATAACAACTCCAGCTAAAAGATTCATATCTAATTTAGGACTTATTTTATTCAAAATTTAATTAAGATGTTTCATATCTTTTTGTCAAGTGCATGTAGGTAGCTGAGTACACATCTTCCATTATTTCTTGTATTCTCCAACTCTATAAATCCATAACTTATTATTCTTGAGATAAGGTATAGTCATGCCTTTCTAAATACTTTGAGGTTTTTAAAACTAATAGCAAAAATGGAGAATAAGGTACACTTGTCATATTTCTTCACAAGCCATAATTGTGCTTGTTTTGGGAAGAGTGCTATACTTTAAGTCACAGATCTGGTTTGCCTGCGCATGAACGGAATTACCAAATAAAAGCATAGGCATTGACTGGGACACTAACAATATTAATATCTAAGATGTGGGAGCAGCTTTGGGAATACAGAGATACTTTGAGAAGTTAAAGGTATTTTACTAGGTTTCATTACAGTTACATACTGCCTTATTGTTTTCAAATCAAAGTACATTTTTTTGTTCCATTAAACTAGTATTGTTTGCCATGATTTCCCTTTTGTTTTAGGGTTAAATTGTGTTTTCTAGTAGTAACTTAGCATTGCATGAAGTAGAAATTTTGTGTCTTCTGTTGATATAGCTGAAGTGTTTTAAAAAATCATATTTTTGCCTAACTACCAGAAACAATACATTTTTGAATATGTAACGATTTCAGCAAAAATGTAAAAATAGCATAGTAATGACTTGCCTAGACATTTTGTTTATTTTTAGAAGTAGATAATTAAGTTTTTCTAGTGGCTAACCTTTCATTTTATTACTAAATTATTAAACTAATTGTAAACTTAAATTTTTGAAAAATGTTTTATGGCAGTAGGAGTCTTATAAGTGAGTTAACCTTATAATCATATGAAAATATTTTCTATGTTTTAGAAATTTTCTAAATTCCATATAATAATAATAATACTTTTTTTTGGATATCACTTGGTGATTTGAACAACCAGATTTTTGAAAAACAATTTAAATTTAATGTCTGGGTCACATTTACATCATAGATTGAAAAAATTGATATTGAAAAAGGATTTGTAATTTTGAATGTTTCAAGAGCTTAAAGTCAAGGTGGGTAACACTTCTTAGTTTTTTGACAAAGTTTACAAAATGAAAGTTCGAATAAATTAAAGCCTGTGGGTTGAAAATGAAGCAAGCACTTAAATAGCCTCTTAGGAAATGAATATCAGCTCAAATAGAGTACATGCCTAAAATTCATTAGTGGACTTTATCTTTGGAACAAGTGGTTAACACATTGTAGATTATTTTTACAAAGTTATGCTACATTAAAAATGTATTAATTTATATTTTCTAGGGCCTGTTAAAATTAGCAATAACTCCCCTTTCTGGAACAACCCAGCCTTAATTCTTTTTTTTTAAAATTGCAAAGAGAGGCGGAGATGATTCAAATTCCTTCACAATGACTTTATCCCATTGTAAATGTGATCCTAATCGTATCCAGACAGTTCTGTACCACTTGTAGTGTTTTGTCCAGATTAAGGATGGGTTTCCAAGAAACCAAACCAACTGACGAGCCTGTAGAAAATAACAGAATGCAGTTCTAGATTGGGAGAGGGACCTCTAGACTGTTTAATGACTTTATTACTCTGCCTATAGTGTCATACAACATGTATTTAATTTTTTGCCTATTAGGAACATAAACGGGTAGTTCTCCATGATCTATTTAAGAGACTATCTACCAAAACAAGCAAGCATGCATGCTTCCTAAATAGGTCTTTAAGTGAAAAGTTTGCAATAAAGGAGAATGTGTGCTTTTCTTCCATGCAATTATGTAGCCCATCTTCAAGCAAACAGTACTGATTTTGGCATATTTTGATTACCCATTAAACCTGTCTGTCTCTATGAGAGGAAAAAAAACATTACAATGAAGTTTTAGGTAGATCCATTTGAGGATTTTCCTAAGGGTTTTTCATAATGTGGGGTCACATGTTCTTTGTTTAGTTTTTTTTGTGTGTGTGTGTGTGTGTATGATCTTGTCATGTGTTCTGTTTTTATATCTAAGAAATTATTTGCTACTTTTATAATGTATTATTAAAAATTATTAGAGATCTTGTTTTCCTTTAACAATGCCTCATCTACCCTCAAATGAAATGAAAGAAAAATTAATGAAATGTATTTTACTCTATTTTTACTTAAACACATGAAACTCCAGAACACATTTTGAAAAATCTAGCTTTTAAAACTGCATTTGAGAACAACTTCTAGAAGTTAGTCTTAGTGTACTAAATCTAACGAGATCACTTAGAGTTTAAAGCATAAAGGTTACAGGTACTGGATTGATAACTCAGGTGGTTTCAGTTTTACATGCATTGTAAAATTTGACATTAAAGTCACAGAGACAAATAGTCATTTAACATGGGGTAGTGTTTAAGAGTGTGAACTAAGGAACTAGAATGCCTGGGTTTGAATCCTTGCTCTGTTCCTTATATGCTGTGAGGATTTAGTGAGCTTTTTGTATGTCTCTTTGCCTCAGTGTCCTCATCCATAAAATGGTGTTAATAAATAACCTCTCATGAGTTGATTGAAGACTCA